TTATTATTATTATTATTATTATTATTATTATTATTATTATTATTATTATTATTATTATTATTATTTAACTGGTTGTTTTGTTTATTTTCTTATTGTTTCTTTTTTCATCTTATTTTGTGTTAAAAAAAAGAGATTTGAGAAGATTGGAATTATTTTTAATAAAGCTTTTCTGGTGGAAAAATCTGATGCAGCCCAGCCTCACCCAGACTCTGCCTTCAACGGCCCCCAGGCAAATTGAGTTTGAGACCCCTGGTCTAGAAAAAAGTGGCCTGAATGGGGCCACGATTAAGTAAATCCCTCATCTATTTTTCAGAGGGCTTTGCTTTCAGATTTTTTTTTTAACCATTTTCGCTTGCCTTCCTTGGATGTATTTCAGCCTCTCAATATCCTCCTGAAATTGTGGTGCCCAGAACTGAACACAGGATTACAGGGGAGACCAAGCAGAATAAATTTGTATTATGACTTCCCTTGATCTTGACACCCCTGTATATTTCTGTCAATGCAGTCTAGTGTTGTGTTTTTTTTTGCTGCTGCCTTACTGTTGTCTCATTTGCGATCTGCTAAGATCCCAAATCTTTCTCAAACATACTACAGTATTGCCAAGCCAGCTGTTACCCATGCTACATTTATACATCTGATTTTTTTTCTGCTTAAATGAAGAACTTCACATTTTCTCTGTTGACAGTTATTATGTTTGTTTTGGGCCAGTTCTCCACCTTATCATGGTCATACTGAATCCTGATTCTGGCTTCTGAAGTGCTGTATTAACTATCCTTCCCAGTTTGGTGTAATCTAAAAATTTAATAAGCATTCTCTCCGCATCTTCTGAAGTTGCATCTGTAAATTCTTTTAAGTCCCTGTTCATGCATTTTTATTCATTGTCTCATGCTAATGAACAAATGCATCCCCTGCTTCTACATTCATCTAGAATCATAAGCTGTGATCTGTTGAAACTAGTACTACAGCATGTATTTACCCAAGACCAAACCCCTGCCTTTGCTGCCTGAAAAAATCTGGGAGATGTAGTCCCAAAAATATAAAACTGTATACCTCTACCCTGAACTAACAAATAAATCTGGCAGGTGTCATTGGGGGAAGGCATCCACTAATTAGCCCATGACTAGTTAGACTAAAGTTTTCGCATGTTACTGAAACTTTTCCCCCCTTAATGGAACTTTATTTATTCCTTCAGATTTGCTCCCTTTAAAGTCTTTATTTCCCCAACCTGGCACTTCTCAGGTGCCTTGAACGACAAATCACACAATTATGTTGCTGGCTTAAGATAGTAGGATACCAGTTGGACAATGCTCTTAATTAAATGAGACACTTTTCTGAGGGAGCAACATGAATGCTTTAGTCAATGGCCTAAAGCCAAATGCATGTCTCAACCAGAGTAGACCCATTCAACAACAGCCTATTTGATTATACTTTGTCACTAATTTACACAATTGTGTCTTGTATTATGCATCAAGCTATATCTAACTTGAGGGGGTGTGGTGGCGCTGCGTGTTAAAACCGCAGAAGCCTCTGTGCTGTGACGTCAGAAGACCAGCCGTCGTAAGATCAAATCCACACAACGGAGTAAGCTCCCGTCACTTGGTCCAGCTCCTGCCAACCTAGCAGTTTGAAAGCATGTAAATGCGAGTAGATAAATAGGCACCACCTCAGTGGGAAGGTAACGGCGTTCCGTATCTAGTCACACTAGCCATGTGACCACAGAAACTGTCTACGGACAAATGCTGGCTCTACGACTTGGAGATGGGGATGAGCACCGCGTCCTAGAGTTGGACATGACTGGACTAAATGTCAAGGGAAGCTTTACCTTTATCTAACTTACAGAGACCTTCTCGCCCCCATGAGTTTCCATGGTCAAGCAGAGATTCAAACCTAGGCCTCCTGAGTCCTAGTCCGTCAGTCTATCCATTACATCAAACTGGGTAACTTCATGTGCAGCAACAATTATTTTGTTCAGTCTTCAAACATTGCACACTGTTTATCTGGACTGAAAAAGGTTTATAAAGGAACAATTTATTCTAGTTAGAGATCACGGAACCCTTGCAATAATGAAGTGCAGCAATAAGTGGTGATAAAGATCAGTTAGTGAATCAAGGGTGGAGAATTCTTAATCAGAAATATTTTAATACCTCTGAGAAATTGCAGAACATTTTTCTGCACTGCTGTATTGTTACATCCTGTCTCCCCATCCATTTAGAATCAAAAGCATGGTTATAAGTGGAAATCCAATGTGATTAAGCAAAGATGGAGAATGAGAGATACACTTGCATCTCTTCAATAAGCACTGTAAAAAAAGTGGTAAGTTCTTCAAAAGCTGGCTGGATAGCTCAGTGAATTGGATTTGTGACTGTGAAATTAGAGGCTGGAAATTCGATTCCCCACTGCAATTCCCAAGAGACATGCCAGCCTGCGTAGCATCGGCAATGTTGCGCAGCCCCTGGTTCCTCCTCAAAGAAGGCAGTGGTAGACTATTTTTCAATACTCTGTACCTAGAAAAGCCCAGAAAGGGCTACTGTAGGTTCAAATCAACTTGATGGCACATCATTATTATTATCATTGTATTATTATCAGATCCTCTCACTATCTTTTTTTTTCTGATTGAAGTCTTTGACTCTCTTATAATGCTCCCTCTTCCTCTTCTCCAGCTATGGTGTTGCTTCCTTACCACTGCCTCACTCTGTTTGTGGCAATTTACCGATAGCAGTCTTAGTTTCACACAGTAGCCAGGGAACTTAAAAGAAAAGTATACCCAATACTAACGCCTTCATCAGTTCCCGGACTGGCCCAACACATCATCATCATCATCGTCGTCGTCGTTGTTGTTGTTGTTGTTATTAATTTATTAATTTGATTTATACCCCACCTATCTGGACCGATGGACCACTCTAGACTTGGGATAAGAAAAAAAAATGGCTTGTCCTTCTATTTGACACTGATGATGGGACAGCTTACTCTGTCACTCCTGAGGGTAACAGGAGCAGAGAGTAGGATGTCTCCAACATATCTCTCTACCAAAAGAAATGGCTCTGGTATTATGCCCCCCCCCCCC